CCGCGGGGGGGCTGGGCCGCGTCCTGCGCCCGCCGGGCGACGGTGACGGCGCCGGGCCCCGCGGCTACGGCTACAGCTGCAGCGTCACCGTCACCACCGTCACCCGCCCTGACGGGGTGAGTGGCCCCCGCGGCCGCCCGGCGGCACCCGCGGCCGCCTGACACCCCTGCGGCCGCCTGACAACACCCGCGGTCACCCAACAACACGTGCGGCCTCCTGACACCCCCTGCGGCCGCCTGACACCCCCTGTGGCTGTGTCACAACACCCGCAGTCACCCAACAACACCCGCGGCCACCTGACACCCCCTGCGGCCGCCTGACAACACCCGCGGTCACCCAACAACACCCACGGCCGCCTGACCCCCCCTGCGGCCGCCTGACACCCCCTGCGGCCGCCCGACAACACCTGCGGTCACCCAACAACACCCGCGGCCGCCTGACACCCCCTGTGGCCACCCCACACCCCCCCACGGCCGCCCAACAACACCTGTGGCCGCCTGACAACCCCCATGGCCACCCAGCAACACCCGTGGCCACCTGACAACACCCCCTAGTGCTGCCTGACAGCCCTGTGGCCACCTGACAACACCCGTGGCCGCCTGACGTCCCCTATGGCCGTGTCACAACACCCACAGCCACCTGACAACACCCATGGCCGCCTGACGTCCCCTATGGCCGTGTCACAACACCCACAGCCACCTGACAACACCCATGCCCACCCGACAGCGCCCACAGCCACCCAACACCACCTGCAGCTGCCTGACACTCTCTGTGGCCACGTCACAACCCCCACGGCCGCCCAACAACACCTGTGGCCACCTGACAACACCCATGACCACCTGACAACCCCCACGGCCACCCAACAACACCCATGACCACCTGACAACCCCCACGGCCACCCAACAACACCCATGACCACCTGGCAACCCCCACGGCCACCCAACAACACCCGTGGCCACCTGACAACACCCCTTACGGCCACTCGACAACACCCGCGGCCGCCTGACGCCCCCGCGGCCGCCTGACGCCAACAGCGCTGCCCCGGCACAGGTGGTGGAGGAGCGTCGCACCGTGCAGGACAGCCGGGGCCGCCACGAGACGACGGTGACGCGCCGGGGGGGCCCCGAGGACGGCTGCGGGTGCGGGCCCCCCGAGCGGCTGTGGCCGTCGCCGTCACCCGGGGACCCGCGGGACCCCGAGCCCCCYGGCGCCCCCGCGTCCGCCCTGGGCCGCCTCCTGGGGCGCCTCTTCCCGGGCTGGTAGCGCGGGGCTCCCGCCGCGGGCGCGCGGGAATAAAGGCTATTTATGGTACCGGGCGCCTCTGGGGTCCGTGGGCGCCGCAGCTCCGGGACCACCTGGGGTGCCCCCTGCACCCATGGGAGCCCCAGGTCTCCCTGCAACTCCAGGACCACCTGGAATGCCCCCTGCACCCATGGGTTTCCAGGATATTCCCTGCAACTCCAGGACCCCCTTGGATGCTCCCTGCACCCATGGGATCCCGGGATATTCCCTGCAACTCCAGGACCCCCTTGGATGCCCCCTGCAACCCCAGGGGATTCCAGGGTGCTCCCTGCACCCACTCCGATGTTCCCTGCACCCGTGGGCCTCTCCAGATGCGCCCTGCACCCCTGGCAGCCTCTGGAAGCTCCCTGCACCCCTGGGACCTTGTGGGCTGCCTCAGGGTGGCCCAGGCCTCCCGCCGGCTCCACGCGGCCTCCACCACCCAGTCCTGCGGCAGTGGCGCCCTGCCTGCACCCATGGGATCCCTGGGGATGTTCCCTGCGCCCGTGGGATCCCTGGGGATGCGGCCTGCACCCATGAGCTCCCCTGGATGCCCCTTGAGCCCATGGGCTCCCTGGGGATGCTCCCAGCGCCCATGAGCTCCCCTGGATGCTCCCTGAGCCCACAGGCTCCCTGGGGATGCTCCCTGAGCCCATAGGATCTCTGAGGCTGCTCCTYRTTCCCATGGGATCCCTGCGGATGCTSCCTGTGCCYGTGAGCTCCCCTGCATGCCCCTTGAGCCCATGAGCTCCCCTGGACGCTCCCTGAGCCCACRGGCTCCCTGGGGATGCTCCCTGAGCCCATAGGATCCCTGAGGCTGCTCCTCATTCCCATGGGATCCCTGCGGATGCTCCCTGTGCCCATGAGCTCCCCTGGATGCTCCCTGAGCCCACGGGATCCCCGGGGCTGCTCCTCATTCCCATGGGATCCCCCGGGGCTGCTCCCCGCGCCCGCAGCCCCCGGGGCGGCTCCCAGCGCTCCCCGGGCCGCCGGTGCCGCCGGTGCCGCCGGTGCCGCCGCCCGCTCCCGCCGGGGCGGCCCGCGCAGCGC